AAGGCCAGGCTGAACCGACAGACTCCAAAATAATACAGAGAAACCCTGTCTCGTAAAACCAAAAAAAAAAAAAAAAAAAAAAAAAAAAGATACACCTTAAAGACAAGTTCAAGTTTTTATTTCTCAAATTACCTCAGATTAAAATGTCATTTTCTCCTTTCAACACAAGGCACGATGTTTACCTGTTGTGAGATTTTAATTATTGTAAGTAAATTATTGTTTTCCTGTTGTGTCTTTGGTTTATACTTCAGTAAGAAGCATTTAGTTTGTTTTTCTAATTTTATTTCTTATTGAATATCAGCTAATTTTTCATATGATTTCTTGGTTTGTAATTCCTTACCATGAGCAGTTTTGCTTTTTTGTTTCTTACCTTTTGCTTGATTGTCTTTGTGATGTTTTATTCCTCAAAGTACATAGGGCAATAGATTTCCTGAGTTTTGTTTCTGTTTACTCATGCTCAAATTCTTTGATCATCCCTTATTAATGTATGAACAGCATACATTTTGTACGTGTTTAAATTACACAAAGTGAAAGGTTGACATGCTATTTTACACCTAGGAAATGTAAACCTTGCCCAACAATTTACTGTACTCTTATTCTCTGTCTCTTGGCAAACTTTGTTCAGCTTTCTGTCACTGGATTCCAACACTCACCATAATAATTTCGATATTTGCTTATTGTATATATCAATAATTTGTCTTTTTATTGCTGAAAAATACTCAGTTGCCTGTTAGCAGAACTTTGAGTTGTTCTAGTATTGTTATCACAAGCTGTTGGGAACATTCATATAAAAGTCCTTGTATAGCTAAGTGCTTTTGTTTCTCTTAGACAGATAGATATCTAGGAGTTGAAGTGACTTGGTCAGATAGAAGGCACACATCTGTTATGTGAGAAGTTGTCATGTCTTTCTATAGTGTTCACTCTTCTCATTCCTATCAGCGCTGCATGTGCATTCCAGTCACCTATGTTCTTGCTAACCCGTGGCATTTCAATGTAAGTGTAGTATCTCCTTGTGGCTTTGACTTATGCCATATAATGGCTTCTGTGAAATACTCTATTATTTCTCAATATTTGTTCCTTGTATAGTTAGGGTAAAAGCCCTCTCCATAAAATACCTGCAAATATCTTCTCTTAATTTGTTGTTTCCTTTTTGTTTTCATTACAGCGTCTTTTGGGGAATGTATGTTTTGACATCTACTCTCTTTGTTTGGTTGGGTTTTTTTGGTTTTGATTTTGGTTTTTCGAGACAGGGTTTCTCTGTATAGCTTTGAAGCCTGTTCTGGAACTCGCTCTGTAGACCAGACTGGCTTTGAACTCACATAGATCTGTGTGTCTCTGCCTCCCGAGTGCTGGGATTAAAGGCATGGGTCACCAATGCCTGGCTGTGTGTGTGTGTGTGTGTGTGTGTGTGTGTGTGTGTGTGTGTGTGTGTGTGTGTGTAGTGGGTTTTGTTGTTGAAGTTTTTGTCTATTCCAGAATTGCAAAGATAGTTTGTTGTGTTTTGTTGCTGAAACTTTAGAATTCATTTTTTCCGTAGAGCTGTGATTTTTTTTAATGTTTTTTTTTTCTGAGATTCCTGAAGAGGTTCAGATCCAAAAGAGAATGTGTGGAGTCGGTGAGGGTGGGTGGATGAGTAACAGGGGAGATGGACACCATCTAAGGGGCTCCCAGCAGAGTTAATTGAAAAAAGAAGACTCTAGTTGCACATAGAATTAAATGGGAGAAAAGGGGGCATGTGAGCTGGGGTGTGGCTTGAGATCAGGGGTGGAGGAATCTAGCCTTGACCTTGACAATAGGCACCAGTACTATGTTAATCAAAGGACCCTAAGCCCCCAGGGAATAGAGACCCTTACCTAATTGCCTGACCTTGGAAGAAGGACTTCTGGGGATCAGACACTATACCAGTTTCTTAGTCTTACTGTATCTTACTATTTGGGTCTGTTCCCCTCACAACACTCCCAAAAAGGAAAGTCCTGATGTCTCACTCTTTTCTTATTATAGCGTGCCTTTCTGATTTCTCTGTATTTATTAGCTCAAGTCTTGCCCTTAATGGCCTCAGGTTCTGGATCTGAATTTTATCCTTGGGATCAGGTGTGTACCTGCCCCCCCCCCCCTTTGAGCCACCAAGCAGCTCCCAAATCATGACACAGAGACTTTTTATTAGTTTTGAATGCTCAGACTAGCTTAGGTTCATTTCTGGCTAGCTCTTTGAAATTAAATTGTTTCTCTTTGTCTATCTTTTGCCTCAGGGCTTATTACCTTTCTTACTTTCACTGCTTCTCCTGTTTGCTGCCTGGTGACTAACCTGACTGGTCTCTGGTGCTTTTCTCGTTCTTTCCCTCTTCTTATCTCATTCTCTCTTGAGCCTAGATTTCTCCTCTTGCCTATCCTTTCTCTACCTAGGTGCCTTAGGCAGGCAAGGCAAAATAGATATAACAAATGTTTACATAACTAAACACACACACCTTTACACAGCTAAAGTAATATTCCACAGCATAAACAAATGTAACACATCTTTGCCTAGTTAAAATAATATTCCACAACACAGGTATATCTAGTAAATCTCTAACTTTCCCATTCTTGGTATAATTAAGAGGGCACAATGGGAATCCTGGTTCCAAAGTGTCGGGATTCTTTTCTGAAGAACTGTTTTGTTTAGAGAGGCTACCATAGTACATACTTTCATTCTTTACTAAAGTGTGTTATGCAGGTGTACTCATACAGAATGTGTCTTTGTGAGTGGCTTATGTCACTTAGAGCATCATAGTTAGTTCTCAGGGTCTGTATGTTGTACTGTGCATCTTTCCCCTTCCTTCATAGAGCTGACTAGATGCAGTGTATGTTCAAATCTCCTTTGGTTGACCCATTCAGAGCACTTTCGTCGTTCTACCTTTTTGTTCTCAAAATGACTGCCTTGAACATGGGTTCATACACGGTCTGCTGAGTTTCATTTTCAGGATTGGTGGTTTATGGGATTTTTGTTTGTTTATTTTTTAGTATTGGTTTGGGAGTTTGGGGTATATATCCATAAGTGAGATTGTTGTACTGTGTAATAATTCTGTGTTTAGCTTTTTGGAGAATCAATATGTTAATTTTCATAGTAGCTTTGCTATTTTATATATCCCCAGTACCAGTTTTCCACATTCTCTCTCTCTCTCTCTCTCTCTCTCTCTCTCTCTCTCTCTCTCTCTCTCTCTCTCTCTCTCTCTCTCTCTCTCTCTCTCTCTGGGGGGGTAGTGGGTGGGAGTGGTGGTTTTGGTGTTTTTGTTTTTTGAGGTAGAAGTCTCGCTCTGTAGCCCAGGATGGCCTTGAACCTATGATAATCTTCCTTCAGTCTGGAAGTATAGATTGGAACTACGAGGCCTGCATTGTATATGTGCTCTCCTGCCCCCCCTTAAAAAAACAGAAAGAAATTACCATTTAACATGTAGGAAGTAGTGTTATGTATTCACTTTGCGTTTCTATAACGAATTACTGTTGTTGAGTATCTTTCCCTGTGTCTGCTGCCAGTGTGTGTGGCTCCTTTGGGGAGATGTCTTATCCGCTTCTTTGCCCCATCCTACATTTTTTTGTTTTGATGGGCATTGATCCCAGGGTCTTGTGTATGCTAGGCATACATTCTACCAACTGATCTATATCCAGAGCATAAACGTTAGATGTCCTTTATATGTTCTACATAATAATCTCTCAACAGTTACATGACTTAGAAATGTTTTCTTCCATTCTTGAGAGGGAGTGTGTGACTATAATAATTAAAACCAAAGAAAATTTTCTTTAAATATAGGAAGTTGAAGATTTTTCATATACGACTCAGATAGACCCAACAAATATTAACATTTTTCACTGTTTCTCTTATCTATACACACATATTCATACAAACTGTGTTATTAAAAAATATTAAAGAAAGTTACAACTCCTTTATACGTTACTTAGCACATTCAAAACTAAAAACATTTAATCACATCTGCCTTATCTTCCCCATACACATTTACCAGAATACCGTTTGAAAACAGTATTACTAATGGAGGAAGTATTGGCAGTTTTGCTTCCTAATTATTATAGTTCAGCACCTTGCCTTAGGGTGCATTCATCAGTGGTGCTCCTTGAAGTATTGGCATTTTTTTTCTTCATCATTGAGGTCATTATGTCCTTCATCATGAACTATAGTAACTGCTCCCAACTTCTTTCTTTCTTTCTGGGCCTCTAATTCATCCTACACACTCAACAGTATCTTAATACTAAGTCAGACCATGTCTATTGGTCTCTCACTGCATCCTATGCCTTGAATTGCCATGGCTTCTTAACAGGGTGGACATCTCTGACTCACCCCTTGCCTTGCAGCCTCGTTTTCTGATGCTTTACTCCTTCAAGTGCAGCCAAATAAACCTGCAGTCTGTTTTTAGAGGTCCCATGTTCTTTCCTCTTTTACTACATGTATGGCTTCCCTGTTCCTATCAGAGTTTACTGTAAACATCAGCTCTTCAGATGCACTTTCCTCATGTACATCACTTGTTTAGTCCCTTCCACAGCACCTTCCCAATACTTCTTTAGTCATTTCTCATAGTTTAGATATGTATTTATTACTTATGGTTTGCCCTTAGATTCTTCTGTGTCTTCAACTCCATAGTGGCAGCAGCCATTAGATACCAGCACCTCACTGGCAGTTGGGAGGAAGTGAACACTCTAGGTCTCATGACCTTACACGAGTGACTGTGAAGGAGACTTCCCTACGTGATTTGTACTGTTTGCCTAACATAAGGCTGTCAATAACATTAGTTTGTGGTATTCCATATATGCTTAAAATTGAACCAAATTAGTCTCATTTTAATTACATAGTGTGACCTATTATTTTGTGAGATTTGGGGGAAAAGGTTTAACCTGAAAATCAATTGGAATGGGATGAAAGTAAAAGATACAAAAAAATTTTTTTTGATATTTCTTCCATCTATAATATAAAACATTGGTTTTAGCATTTTCACCTTATTTTCTTCCTTTTACAGACTGAGACAACACTTGGCCTCAGTTCATATCAACAGAAAAGGTAAGTAGGACTTACATATGGCAACATGAAAACATGTTTCCTTTCCTCTATGGTTCCTGCACACTTCTCCCGCTCACTTTCCTGGGTCATTCTTTAGTAAACAGACAATACTATACTATAAAAATATTATGTTGTGTTGTGAGAGCCAAAGTTACATTTTCAGTTTTAATTACTGTGCCTGAGAGATCCATTAAGCAAAAATATCTCTGATCTGCAAGCCCCTTGCTCAAGGACAGATGGTTCCTGAAATGCTGGAGGCTATTGTTTAATGGGTGTTAACCAACCACATGTTTTCACTCCCCTAAACAAGTCTGTTTGACCCATCTGAACTGGATGTGCTTGATCACATGGGGGCAGGAGGTTCACAGGCAGGAAATACGTCAGGATATGCGTTTGCCCCCAACTGGACCTGATGGGAAATGCAATGAATTATGGATTTTCCTCCTTAAGCTGCAGCAAACTCTGATTCAGGGCCATTTCCTAGGAACCTGGCTATGAACCAGGCCAGACCCCATCCACCTGGCCAGTATTTAATTAAAGCTTGCTTCAAATTTGGCATTAAAATGTGGTGATGGTCTTATTCTCAGTAGGTAGGATTAGCAGTGTTTTTCTTTTCTGTTGTTTTGTTTGGGGCAGGATTTTACTATGTATTCCTAGCTTGCCTGGAACTGTTTGTTGACCAGGTTGGGCTCAGACTTGCAGAGATCTTGCCTCTGCCTCCCAAGTGCTGCATAAGGTGCGACCATGGCTTTAAAATTTCTAAATATTTTGTTTGGAAAACCCAGTTTAAATCTGAATTCTCACATGGCAGTTATATAGCATGCTATTCTGGAATGGTTTCCTTTGACTGTAACAAAGACCTGGAATAATCAACTGACAAAAAGAAAAGGTACTTTTTGACTCACAGTTTTGGAAATTTAAATCCCAGTACAGCATGGCAAAACCCAACTGCTCACCTCAAGACAGTCAAGAAATGGAGAAAGGGCTGAGGTCTCACAAGCTCCATGAAGGACATGCTCCCAATGACCTAACGACCTCCCATCAAGTCTAACCTATTACAGTGTCTGTCTGGGGACCAAGCCCCCAAACATGGGAACTTTTAGGAACATGTAGGGTTCAAGCTGTAGTTCAGCACTTGTCATATATAAAGCAAAAGTACCCTTGTCTTGTAAGAGTATCAGGTTTGTAAGACCTTAGTTAACTTTTCATGAGTTCTATGAACTCTAGAATTGACGCATCTATAACCAACATAGTAGAAAGGAAGGCACATCTTGATTCTGGGAGATTGAAAATTAGCCATGGGCCAGGCGGTAGTGGCGCACGCCTTTAATCCCAGCACTCGTGAGGCAGAGGCAGGCGGATCTCTGTGAGTTTGAGGCCAGCCTGGTCTACAGAGTGATTTCCAGGACAGCCAGGGCTATACAGAGAAACCCTATGTGGAAAAACAAAACCAAAAAAATGCTTTGTTTTAAAGTTATGCTTAATACTTTAGCTTTTACCAATTTTATTAATTCTTTAAGAATTTCGATGTATTTTGAACCTACTCACCTCCTCTCTACCCTCCCATTCCTTGCCACCCAACTTTGAGATGATTATTTCTTTCCTCTCTCCACTGAACCCAGTTTGTGTTGCTCAATTGGTCTTGGAAATGGCTCCTACCCTGGTGCATAGTAGACTGAATAGGGACCCCCCCCCCTCTCTCTCTCCCTCTCTCCCTCTCTCCCTCTCTCTCTCTCCCTCCCTCCCTCCCTCCCTCCCTCCCTCCCTCCCTCCCTCCCTCCCTCTCTCCCTCCCTCCCTCCCTCCCTCCCTCCTTCCCCTAGCAAATGTCAATAGCTTGTCGGGCAGTGGTAGCACACACCTTTAATCCCAGCACTTGGGTGGATCTCTGTGAGTTTGAGACCAGCCTGCTCTACAAGAGCTAGTACCAGGACAGCCTCCAAAGCTATATAGAAACCCTGTCTCAAAAGACAAAACAACAGGCCCCCTCTCGGATCCCCTGGCTTGGGGACCACAGCCAGGTCGACTCGCCCCCGGTCAGACAACCAAGCGACCAGGAGCCTGCAGAGAGAGCTGGTCCACTCCTGCCCGCACTCAGGGCAGAGGGCAGAAAGCAAAAAGCAAAGGCCAGATAGTATTGGATTTGCTTGCACCACCGAAAGTGAACCCTGGTTGCCTACTCACCAGGAGAGGAAGAGGCTCTTTCTACACCCACTGGAAGAAATGATGGGAAACAGGCAATATAAAAACACACTCAGCTATCGACAAGCAAATATGACACCACCAGAGTCTAGAGATTCTACACCAGCAAGACAACACCCCAATGCAGATGAAGCAGAAGGGAATAACCTTAAAAACACCTTCATGAAAATGATAGAGGCCCTCAAAGAGGATATGAGAAAATCCCTTAAAGAAATGGAAGAAAAAAAAACACCCAAAATCCAACAAATGCAAGAAATGGAGGAAAACCCAAAGAAAAAATTATAAGAGACAATTCAAACAATGCAAGGGTTGAAAGCTGACATGGAGACAGTAAAAAAACCACAGTTGGAAGGAATGGTGGAAATAGAAAAACTGGGGAAACGGTCAGGTACTACAGATGCAAGCATAACCAACAGAATGCAAGAGATGGAAGAGAGAATCTCAGGTGTTGAAAACACACTAGGAGAAATAGATTCATAGACCAAAGAAAATCTTATGTCCATCAAATCCTTAACACAAAATATCCAGGAAATGTGGGACACCGTGAAAAGACCAAACCTAAGAATAATAGGTATAGAAGAAGGTGAAGAAACCCTACTCAAGGAGGCAGAAAACATATTCAACAGAATCATAGAAGAAAACTTTCCCAACCTAATGAAAGATGTGCTAATTAAGGTACAAGAAGCTTACAGAACACCAAATAGAGTGAACCACAAAAAAAAAAGGCCCCTAGCCACATAATAATCAAGACCCCAAGCATACAGAATAAAGAAAGAATACTTAGAGCAGTTAAGGGAAAAGGTCAAATAACATATAAAGGCAAACCTATCAGAATTACACTTGGCTTCTCCATGGAAACTCTGAAAGACAGAAGGTCCTGGATAGATATTCTATCAAAACTAAGAGACCACGGATGCCAGCCCAGACTACTATACCCAGCAAAGCTTTCAATCAATATAGATGGAAAAAACAAGATATTCCATGACAAAACCAGATTTAAACAACATATACACTAATCCAGCCCTACAGAAAGTTCTAGAAGGAAAACTCCAATCCAAGGATGTTAACTACAACCAGACAAACACAGGTAATATATAATCCCACTTTACCAACAGCCAAAAGAGGAAAGGGGTGGAAATCCACATATGATTCCACCACCATTAACCATTCCAAAACAAACAAGAATGAGCAATCAAAGGTCATTAATATCCCTCAGTATTAATGGCCTTAACTCACCCATAAAAAGGCACAGGCTAACAGAATGGATTCAAAGACAGAATCCATCCTGCTGCTGCATACAAGAAACACACCTCAGCTTCAAAGACAGAGTTAAGGGTTGGGAAAAGATTTTCCAATCAAATTGACCCAAGAAACAAGCAGGGGTAGTAATCCTAATATCTAAAAAACTAGACTTTAAATTGAAATCAATCAAAAGAGATGAAGAAAGTCATTTCATATTCATCACAGGAGAAATCCACCAAGATGAACATCTATGCCCCAAACACAAAGGCATCCACATTTGTAAAAGAGACATTACTAAAATTCAAGCCATACATAAAACCTCACACACTTACAGTGGGAGACTTCAACACCCCACTCTCACCACTAGACAGGACTACCAGATAGAAACTTAACAAAGAAACAAAGGAACTAGTAGAAGTTATGACCCAATTGGGCTTAACAGACATCTATAGAACATTCCATCCAAACACAAAAGAATATACCTTCTTCTCAGCGCCACATACTTGGCAACATATAAAACCTCAACAGGTACAAAAAAAATTGGAATAACTCCATGTATCTTATCAGACCACCATGCTTTAAAGTTAGAATTCAACAACACAAATTGCAGAAACCCTGCAAACTCATGGAAATTGAATAATGTGCAATTGCACCACTCCTGGGTCACAGAAGAAATAAAAAAAGAGTCTAAGAGAGGAAACAATTAGAAGAGGTAAGTAGTTTGATAAGTAGTTGATAAGTGCTATGGATTTTTAAATCCATAGCAAAACTAAAATGTGTTTGATATGTATCTACTATACAGGGGAAGTCATGTTCATTTATCTTAAGTTTCTGCTCATCTGTCTCCAGTAAAAATCATGGGAAACTACTAAAGCAATGACTGTAATATTCTACTTACCCCTCCCCCATCTTTTTCTGTAATGATCCTTTGTGAATCAAATAGCAGTTGCCAAATGTTTGAGATTATGCTTTAAAATTCAGGCTTCTGATCTTTGTACTACATGTAATGAGTCAGATTCTGAAGATGGCCCTTGTAATTTGCCTTTCCAAGGAATGCTAGGTGTTTAGGTTCAGTTGGTTCACAGTTTTGTTTTTAAAGAAATACTGTGTACGGATATGATGGCCCTCCTCTTACCAGCTGTAATCTCAGCATACAGGAGATTGAGGCAGAAGAGCAGTGAATTCAGGGTCAGCCTGACTACAGAATAAGACCCTGTCATAAACCCTTCCCTATACTGGGTCTCAGAGTGTCTTTTGTTTAGTGAGTAATTGATCCTAGGTAGACATCTGTAGACTTCCTAACTTAACACCTCCTTCAACACCAAGAAAGTTCTGTAGGTTTCATTTGGAAGTCACCTGCAGTTAACTTTCACCCAGCAGTTAACCAAATAGTAGAGTTCATTTCCCCAGGATTCCATCCCTAGCTTGACATCAGAAAAAGTCTTCATCTCTGTATCTCCAAGTAATCTGGAGGGAGGGGTGTGTGTGTGTGTGTGTGTGTGTGTGTGTGTGTGTGTCTGTCTGTCTGTCTGTCTGTCTGTCTGTCTGTCTGTCTGTCTGTCTGTCAGAAGATAGCATCAAATGTTGCTCCTCAGGCACCGTCCACCTTTTATTTGTGTGACAGGGTCATTCATTGCCCTGCTATTAGCCAAGCAGCCTAGGCTGATGGAACAGCAAGCCCCAGGGATCTGTCCTCTCTCCATCTCTCCTGGGGTTGCGGTTACAAGTGCACTCACCATGCCTTACTTTTCATATGGGTTCTGGAGATCAAACTGAAGTCCTCATGTTTGCAAGGCAAGCATTTTACTAAGACAATTCCCCAGCCCTGAAAATAATTTTCATAAACCTTTAGAAAACAATTTTATTCATAATTCAGGACAAATAATTGCTAAAGAAAGCGTAAAAGCCATGATAACATCCCAGATTGGCTTGCATTGAAATTAACCAAGGGATATGTATCATTTTTCATATTCCCTATCTCAATTTATTTTTCAGCGTCACTTCCAAACATTTGTACTCTGTTAATAAGAGTATTAAATGGTGTCCTGCCATAGGGAAATAAACATGTTAGAATCATTTCATCAGCTCTAGATACACGACAGCTGTGGCACTTCATTTTTAGTTTTTAAAAGCAAGGGAGTATTTGTGCCTGTTTCTGTTGACCCATTTAAAATTATTCCTTAGATGTGGCTCTGACTGTTGTCTTTAAATACACATCTATGAAGGACTCAACTTTCACATTGTTTCCTCTTTACTCATGTAGTAAACATTCCGTGAATCTCACTAGCAGTTGCTGGTGCTGCTTCTGCAGAGTTTACAATAGACTTCAGCACAGCGTATAAAAAAACATACTCCTAAGGATGTCACAGGAAAGGAAGTAGAAGTGTTGCTTAAGAGACTCTAGACAAGGTACTAGGATTAATTCACCCAAAGCCACTGCAATAGGACCAAAACTTGGCAGCAAGTTTCTTTATATAAGCAGTCACCACATGTATTCAGCTACTACTTACTTTTAACTCCATCTAGATAAGGCACCTTATCAACACTCTGGAACATTTTCTCACACAGTCCTTCACAAATCACAAGTGTCATAAGTCATCCTCGATCGGCCTGTCTTACAGTCCCAAGTCAATATAACTGTTGTCTAAGTTCCAAACAGGCTCAGGAAGCAGCTGCTGCCTTGTCTGCGGGGCTGCTATAGCGCCAACCTGCTTCCTTCCACAGTGCCAAATCATAAGACTTCTTTATTTAAAACACTTTGTATTAGCTAACTTTTTTCACTGTTGCACAAAATGTCTGAAAAGTTTACAGTTGAGAAGGTACAGTCCTGTCATAGCAGGGAAACCATGGTAGGACTAACAGGCACCTGGTCACATTGCGTCAGTAGTCAGAGTGGAGAGTGAACAGGAAGTGGAGCCGGTTACAAAGCCTCAAGCGGCCCATTTCCTCCAGCATAGCTCTACTTCCTGAAAGTTCCACAACTGTGCCACTAACTGGGGATCAGGTGTTCAAACACATGAGCCTACAGGGGACATATCACATTCAAACCACCATAGCTGTCCAGGGTTTTCTTACTCTTAGAATAATATCCACATTTCTAATTTGACCTCCCACCATTTCCCTCTCTTCTCCTTCTCCTCACTCTGGTCGTTTATGCCTCTTGTTCTCCAGCTTGCCAAATGCATTCCTACCTTCTACTCTAGGTCCCCACCATCCAAGCTTTGGTGCATGTGTCTTTCCTCAGTCTCTCTGTTTTCACCAACTGTGCTGGATTTGTGTTCCTGTCACCTTTATGTTGAATGAATGGAATCGATCCTTTTTAGTCATACTACCACTTTAGAAGTATTCATTTGCATTCTTGGCCCCATGAGAGGGAAAACTGTATCTTTAGTCTCTTTTGTAACTCTAGCATTGAGCACAAATGTATGTATGTATGTGTATGTATGTATGTATGTATGTATGTATGTATGTATGTATGTGTGTATGTATGTATGTAAATTACTGACTCAGAATTTTCCTTAACTTGATGAGGTTTTAGACTAGCTTGAGTTAAACACTTAGAACACATGAACAAGGACAGGCCAAGTTCAGTTCCCAGCACCCACATGGAGTCTCACCACCAGGAATGCATGTGGTGCACAGACATACATGCAGGCAAAACACTCATAAAATCTTAAAAAGTTATTTTAAAAAACACATGATTTGAACATCTCTTATTTTAAAGGTGGCAAAGAATGGTGTTAATCTGTTATGTCTAAGAAGGACAGAAAGTAAGGTCTGAGTGTCTGCAGCTGTCTCTGGCTGCTGTCTTACAGAGAACTGTGCCTTCTCATCTGAGTATCTGTAGTTTTGTCTCTTAGCACAATATGGTCTTGAGATTCACTGCTTTCTTTCTTTTACGTTTTTGCCATTTGTGTTCAACATTCATATGCATAAAAAAAGGGATAATCAAACAGCACAAAGGGACACTCCAAATTGGCAGAGCGCAGACCTTCGAGTTGATTACTCAGCTCAGTAGCCCCCATTCCATTTTTATGTACTACTGTATTTCTGTATCTTCTGGATGAAATGACATCGTTTGGAAACTTGTACTCTTGTGAATTATGCACAGGATGGAAATACAGTAGTCGCTGATTGAGTGTGTCTTATTTCTTCAAACAAAAATATTAAAATCCATTTTGAAAGTTATTTTAGTAGCTGACTGCATTCTTTGTTTTGTTTTGTTTTTTAAGACATGGTTTCTCTATGTAGCTTTGGAGCCTGGCACTCACTCTGTAGACCAGGCTGGCCTTGAACTCATGGAGATCTTCCTGCTTCTGCCTCCTAAGTGCTGGTATTAAAGGTGTCTGCCACCACTGCCTGGCTGATGACTGAATTTCTAACTTCATGGTACATAAATATATGACTTTAGATATGTAAGCACCATATTTTCCCAAAGATCCTTGGTATCTAACATCAACTCAGAAATGGTACTTATATATTTAGACCAGAGCATCAAAGATCAGTGTGTTCCAAAGTCTTGATTCGGTGTTCGAATTCTTTGAAAGTTCTAGATCCAAATTCATTTTTGTTTAGTCTTTGCCACTCAGTTGGAATGTGATTGTAATTTTTATTACTGTATTGTATCAAGTTTGTAATTATACTAACAACTTATTTATCATTTTGTATCAAAAATCTAAGGAAACATGTTAAAGTATAATTTTACCAATTATATCAATCAAGTAAGTTCCATTATTCTGTCTACTGAGAAACTTTTATTTCCATATACCTTTCTGTAAAAAAAAAAAAGTATTCCATTTTTTCCTTTTCTTTCTTTCATGGTTTGTTTTGCTTCATTTTGTTTTGTTTGAAATAGGATTTTGCTAGATAACTAAGGCTGTATTTGAAGTCATAATCATTCTATCTCAAAATTCTAAATCTGAAATTACAGGCACTTACAATTATAGGCACCACTACATCCGGCTCAATTGTTACAGCTCATTCACTGCTTTTTTCTAGTGTAAAATAATGGTCTGCCCGTTCCCAGTAGAACATTATATTCCACTAATTTTTCTGTGTGTGTGCGTGTTTGTGTGTGCAGGTTACACTTGTACATTGAGGCCAGAGGACAACCTTAGCTCTCATTGGTCTGACACTCATCAAGTAGACTAGACTGTCTGCTAGAGAGCCTTGGGGATCTGCTGGCATCACTACCTCTGTGATTGCAACCATACTGAGATATTTTACATGGGTTTTACATCCATCTCATAGCCTCATGCTTGCAAGGAAGGCACTTTACCAACTGAGCTATCACCCATCCCAGATTCCAGTTCTCTTAAAATGCTTTCTTGTGATGGAAGTTAAGCATCTGACTATGATTTGCAAAGTGAAAGAGCTGCTTCTTACACTTTTTCTTTTTCTTTCCAGCATTTCTCTGTACCGGGGTAATTGCAGGCCCATACGATTCGAACCACCAATGCTGGATTTCCATGAACAGTAAGTAATTTGGAGTTATAAGACTACTTTATTTGCATTTCTCTTGTCCATTGCTTGTTGCTTGTGTTAGCTGTGTGAGAAGGTTACACGTTCAAGTCTTAAGAAAGCAAATGATGTTAAAGCCTTTGAAACTAGGAAGCAGTTCTGTTAGGAATCTGATACAACATAAACTTTGAAAGTGAAAAATGCTCACACACTCCAGTCTCTGGTTCAGAGGGTCTTAGCATGAACCTCTAAGCCTTTTCTGACAAGCACTTCATTTCTGGTGTTTACACTTTTTTGCTGACATTTTGAATGATAAGAATGCTTTTAAAGTACATGTGTCAGTACATCAACAAATACTATGATCTCCAACCCCAAATGGAAGATTAAAGCAAGTGCCCCAAGTATGTCTGAGCCCAGAACTGACTTGTTTTCTTAAACCACACGCTGGGTCACCTCCTTCATTAAGGACTCTTGTTTCACACAGCTCAGATACTCGAGGAGAAAAACGTGTGCCCCCAGTTTCAGGTGGCTGGGAGAGGGCCTCTTGCATTGTTACCTGTTATAGAAGAATTTTCTGAGAAGGGCAAGCTGTACATGTAGCACTGTGGATCAGAGTCTACAGTAGGAGAGCATGTAGTCTAGTGTCATGAACTTGAGGCAGCTGATGGGAATAGTAAAATCATTGTCAACTGGAAAAGAAGCAGATGGACTTTTTTATTGAGACTGATGCTGGTCATAGAGAAACTGAAAACTCATGGGCTAAGAGAAACTTTGTAAGCTTTCTGAAGAGCCGTGGGAAGACAGATGAACTTCAGCAAAGGGTGAACAAGACAAGTGACACCATTAGGAAGATCAGGAAAGAAAATGATCCCTACCAGCCATCTCTGGTGCTGCTCCAAAAGCAGAGAAGTGTTCACCACTACATGCTGAAATCTTATTGAGAATATGATGGCATGTGTGGTGATATATTGTTTATGATCTAATAAAGCTTGCCTGGATATCAGAATGCAAAGCTAGCCACCGCCATAGAGGCCATAGAGGCTCATGCCTTTAATCTCAGCACTAGAGAGAATATAAGGAGCTCAGTGCAGTCTCAGAGCAGTCTGGGTTTTGGTGGAGAGCACTGCAGTCAGTGAGTCTGAAGAGCAGTGCCGTCTGGAGATGCAGTCTGAGGACAGGATCGCCCATTTGATCTGAGCTCTGGTAGAGGTGAGAACAACTCATAGTGGCTGGCTGCTTTGCTTTTCTGATCTTCAGCTTGAACCACAATATCTGTCTCTGGGTTTTTATTATCCATACTGCAGGTATGGGAAAATAGACTCTTTGTAAAAGATGTAGCTGTTGGGGGGGAGGGGACAGAATCCTCACGAGCAGGATATTCTTATAGCTGCCCTGCCCTGTGTACCAGGTGAGTGTATAGCAAGGAGGCATCATCTGTGAACCACAGAGAAACCACCAGAACCAGAATGTGCTGGTGTTCTATGTTCAGATTTCCTGGCACTGAAACTCAGAGAGACATTCCCGGTGGTTACAATCCACCAAGTGAGTGTATGGCATTTTGTTACATTTTCTTAAATTAACTAAGACATTGTTTTACCATTATTTTAAACATTTCTGTGTGTAATCCAAGAACATTAAAGAAATGTGTTTTATTACACAAAGATAGAACTGGGGTTACATAAGGTATTTTGTGGACAGATGGGGAAACATACATAGTGGAGTTTGTTTGGAGAGTTAGAACCTGCTGGGGATCTTAAATGTGTGTGCTGAAGTGTATGTTTAGCAATGCCTGTGTGGGCATGTGGTAGGCTTGGCTCATATGGTTGTGGGAACTGGGTAAGCATTCATTGAAGAAATGGTGAGTAGCTGGAACTGTGAGGAACACTGCTGATCTTTTCCAGGCAGGCAGCAGGAAATCCTGAGCTAGAGAGAGCAATTGAAAGTCCAGTTGGTAGAGAAAAAGGCCTAAACTGTCCGTGTGATTAGCACACCCACCTAGGATGAACTCCCTTTGGACCTAAGTCAGTTGATCTGCAGAATGGCTCCCAGAAGCACCTGCATTGGTGTTTCAGTAGCTTGAGGAAGGCATGAATACTACAGAATAGTTGCTGGCTGTCTTGCTGTCTCCAGCTCACAGGAGAGATTCTCGGAGTGTCTGTAGTCTTCAGCTCTCAAATGAGAGATACACTGGAAAGGAGTTCCGGGGACTGTAATTTAGTCCAGCCTGGGTATTAGCACCCAGCCACTAGGGGTATAGACATCAAGATCCCTGAATTTAGCACTCTTGTATCTGAAAATGGATGGTCTCATGGTTGAAAAACTGTGTTTGGCAGTTTTAGAGACCAGGCTCTTTGAGACTCAAACATAGCTTCATGACAAGAAACTGAGGGTATGTTTTCACTACAGAAACTTACTACTAAGTGACTTCAGGAAGTAACCAGTTGCTAAAGGAAATCAAATGTGTGAGTTCACATCCTCTTTCAGAGTTACATGTTTTCCCCCACTTTTAGAAACATAAATCTTGTTAGTTAATGGAAATTCTTCCTGCATTAATCTATTTTCTTTCTGCCTCCAGACATTCCTGCTTTTCTTAATTGGGTACTAAGTGAGAAGTTTGAAATCAGAACACACTGTAGAATATCTCCCAGAACTTGGTCCTGTTGTCTGTAGACAGCTCCCCCAGCCCTCCCTCCCTTACTCTTCTGGTTTTATTAATATATGTCCAGTTTTTTTGTTTTTTCCAGTTGTTAAACCTTTGGAAAGTGACTGTGTCCTTGCCTCAGGAGCAAAGTCTATTCAAATTAGTTATAACATTCCCATTTTTTTTTGAGGGGCCTGTAATTGTCTCCCAAGCCCTGGGCTGGTCCTTGGGATCTCCCAGAGCCCACAGCCTATGCTATGAGCTGAAAGGGATTTGTGAGGAAGCAAAGCCTGAGTTGTTGTTACTTCACAGTTGTATGTTGTTGTGCTCATCTGAAGCACTTGGCTTGAGAAGCGCTTGTGTAGGCTACTCTGAAAAGCTGTACATCTTGCAAAACAGGCAGTTATAGGTGTAGCTGGCTACTTACATCGAGTCCTCTGAGTTCCCTTTTTAATTCTAACTTCTTGGGGACTAAAGGATAAAATTAATTAATCTCTATGGCCCCCCAGGACACTGGGAAAAACCCCTGTACATAGGGTGTTCTGAATCAATCCTTCTTGTAACATTCCGATTGTTGTTTGGGGTCAGTTCACAGGTAGACGTGACCCAGTGTAGCTAGGAGTGTGAGGACAGGTCTAAGGGAGTTCTGGGGAAGGAATTTCCCCCACTGTTAGACACAGGAAAGAAGCCCCCCTCTTTCATGCTAGATTCCATATTGGCACCACTCCACCCTGTCATTAGTGGGGAGTGCTAGTCAGAGGGTAAAGCCAGGGCACTTTGTCTAACAGCAGGAAAATGGCAAGGACCCATGCCCCTGGCAGCTCACTTGCGCCAACACTGCTCTGTTGGCCTTCAGTTAGCAGCACTAGTTTTGTCTTCTTGGAACATATGGCGCTTGTCCTCCTGCGCCTTCCTTTTCTGCCTGCAGGCTTTTGAGCACACAGCCTACACATTTATCGTATCTGAAACTGCTTGTAGCTCCCTTCCCTTCCCTTTCGTGCTGCAGGCACCAGCCTAGCCTGTGATTCCCTCTCTGGTGTCCCCACCTCCTCACTCACTGAGGCTTCTGGGTTGCACTCACATCCCTCCCATCATTACTAGAAGGGTTCTACCATAGCTGTGTGTGCTCTCGTAGAAGCCTCACTGCTTAGCTACCTGCTCTTGGCTCAGGCTATTGCTACCTGTGTAGCATTTTCTGATTCTTGATCCATGGTGTTATAACGTTAAATTTGATCATGAGGCCAGGGAGATGGCTCAGTGGGCAAAGGCACTTATTACCAAGCCTGATATTCTTGGAATTGGAATAGGCCCCTAAAAGTTGCCCCCCCACACACATAAGTGTAATTTTTTTTTTTTTTTTTTTGGTTTTTCAGGGTTTCTCTATGGTTTTGGAGGCTGTCCTGGAACTAGCTCTTATAGACCAGGCTGGTCTCGAACTCACAGAGATCCTCCTGCCTCTGCCTCCCGAGTGCTGGGATTAAAGGTGTGCGCCACCACCGCCTGGCGTATTTAAAATTTTTAAATTTGATCCTATTACCCCCCCCCCATGTCCTGGTGCTTTATATGCCTTACACCGTGTGTGTAGAAAGCTATGGACAATTTCCTGAAGTCAGTGTGGTCTTTCTAACTCTGGTCATGTTATACATGCCTTGAAACTCTTCCCCCTTTTGTGTTTTTAAGCATTTTTACTTTTAAGTGTGTGTGTGTCTGTCTATATGCACATGAGTGCAGGTGCCACGGAATTCAGAGACCTCAGATCCCTGGAGCTGGAGTTAACAGGTGGTTGTGAGCTGTCTGGCATTGGTTGCTAGAAACCAAACTCCAGTCCTCTGAAAGAAATAAATGTTCTTAACCATTGAGCCATCTCTCCAGCCATCCTAAAAACAGTTTCTCACAATCTATCAAAAGGTAGAACAAATGATAATTAGGTGCTAAACAGGGTTAGCAGTATTTAGGTCAGAGGACAACTTGTGAGGATTTGATTCTCTCCTTCCACAATGTGAGTGTGAGAGTTCTCTCTAGCTGCCATTTCCATGTATAAGGACACTACAAAACCAGCTTATCATTATTGATAGAAAAAGAAAATTAGTAGTAAGTACAGAATGCCTGTGTTTCAGTCGGTGCCATAATTGTTTGAGAAAACGCTAGTTGAAACTCCTTAAGGGAAAACTGAGACTGATTCAGTTGCCACCACAGACAGGCAGGTCCATATTAACTAATGGCTGCCAGGACTCCCGTGTCTCTCAGCTTTGCTCACTCTCTCATTCTCTCATTACCAAGACCTTTTCCCTGCAAGGATGAGATAAGTCCTGATGGCTGCTACCATCCTGTCTTCTGTAGCCTTCTTCCACTGGGAGACATTGGCTTCTGTTTC